GATGAATGAGGATGAATGGGGAGAAATGAGGATGAATGAGGATGAATGGGGAGAAATGAGGATGAATGAGGATGAATGGGAATGAATGGGGAAAAATGAGGGTGAATGGGGATGAATTCCTCCAGCGGAGCAGGAAGGATACGTGTGTCTTTGATGATGATGTCTCTGGTCGCCTTGTGGAACGCCATCTGGTAGAAGATGTAGAGGATCTGGCAGACAAACTCGTCGTCCTCCTGCTGGGCTGAAACAGAAACAGGAAAAACACTCAGCTCTCCAGGAAACGCTTCTCTAGATCACCCAAAAAACTAGAAAAACGATCACATCACCTCCACAGAGGAGCAAAACCCCCATGGACAGAAAAACAGCTCATTTCTGCCTAAAGATCTCAGGCATTTTCTAGAAAAACTTGAAACTTTCTGAGTTTGAAAACACAAATTATCTAGAAAACATTTGGAAATTGAAAAACTTGGAAAAATTTCAGAAATCTAAAATGTTTGACTTTTCAAACTCTGGAATGTTCTTGTTTTGGCAAAAATTTACTGCTGAAGAACTGCTGTCATTCACTCTAATACGTGTTTGTACAAACCTGAGTGAAAGCTAATTTCTGAGAAGACGTCTGAGTTTAAATTCTTCCTGTCGGTAAACGGCTCCAGCAGCTGGAGGTGAAACCCGACAGGAAGAGGAAGAGTCGGCGACTCACCGTTGAGGAGATCAATGAGAGCAGGAATGATGCCGGATTTGGCCAACATGGCGGCACAGGAATCGTCCATGGAGACGGTGCCGATCAGGATGACGACCTCCAGGATCAGGTCGTCCTCAGCAGAGCCTGTCGGGAAACGCAGCGTCAGGAGGAAACCGCCCAGCACAGCAGTCTGATTCTTCCTGCTGCGTTCCTCCACATTTCTTTCTAGATAAGATGCTTTGTGTTGGCAGGGAGCAGCCTGGTAGCCGAGCCACATCTCCTGACCTCTGACCTTTCACCTAAAACCGTTTCCCTCCAGTGTGGAAAGTTTCCAGTTATGTAAAACCATTAGATTGTTTAGTTTTTTAATATTCTGGTAGAACATAGAGAAACGTTTGTAATCCTCCGGACCCTGAACGCAGCGCGACCTTCAGACCTTCCCTCTGGTCGGCGGGCATCAGGCGCTCAGATGAACTCAGGACAGATGAAGGTGGGGTCAGAGGTCAGCGACCATCAAAGCTCCAGATAAGGAGGGAAGCCATGTCTCTTCTCCATCCTCAGTCGACTCCTGGCTGATAACCGGGCCTGAGCGATGGCAGCCGGAGGTCACGGCGGGGTCACGGCGGTCTGGAGACACTCACCTGGCTTCAGGCGCCGCTTCAGGTATGGAACCAGGCCGTACTCCCTCAGAACCAGCTCCCAGTCCAGGTCCGGGATGGTCAGGTTGGCCAGGGTTCCCAGGCACTCGATCACAAACTCTTCGGCCTCGTCTTCGCCAATCTGGGCCGCCAGGTCGCCAACGTGGTCCTGCAGAGACCAGACGAGGACAAAACGTCTAACCGGGACTCAGGCGCCGCAGCGACGCCGATGGAGACGGAAACGGACCAGGAACAGGTTCTTGGTGGCTCCGCCATGTTGAGACAGGTTCCTGATCATCTTCATCACCAGAACGTCCTTCAGCTTCAGAGCCCGCCGCATCAGCAGCTTCAGGCCGTTCCCTAGGCAGGGAGGAGACGCTGGGATCGGTTCTGATGGGTCGGTTCTGATGGGTTCTGATGGGTCGGTTCTGATCAGTCAGTTCTGATGGGTTCTGATGGGTCGGTTCTGATGGGTCAGTTCTGGTCAGTTGGTTCTGGTTGGTCGGTTCTGGTCAAGCAGCACAAACCTTCACAGAACACCTGAGCGTTGCTCCGGTTGGCGGCCAGGTTGATGCAGAGCGAGACGAGCTCCACATCCAGCTGCTCCTCACCGCCCAGCATCATCTTCATCAGCTGCCAGACAACAAACATAAACATAATCATCATCATCATCATCATCGGGTCAGGTAGATGCTTCATCCGATCTGACCTGGGTCAGAACCAGCCAATCACAGGAGACGTCTCATCTGAACATTTCTCTAACATTAAAGTTTTGGATTTTTAAAGTCCAGCCCACAATCTCAAAGCTAAACAGGGCGGGGCCTAAACAGGGCGGGGC